ACAGTAAATTTAAAGGCAATGAATTCCGTTTAATACTTTTCTTTGGATTACCGGCATTTCGATTACCAATGAAAATAAAATATTATCACCATTTTCAATTATTAGTAATAGCAATGCAGCTTGCGGAGTCACGCTCAATTGAACCGTCAACGATCCCGGATATTAATGATTTATTAACAAAATTCCTTCAACAGTTCCCATTACTATATACAAAAAGACATAATGTTCAATCCGTGCATAGTATTGCGCATATTGGAGCAACAGTACAAGATTTTGGTCAGTTATCCAACTATTCAACATTTAATTTTCAAAGCCTTTTAGGTAATTCCTTTTTCAATGTTTAAACAACAATAAAGAATTTCTCACTGCTTCATCACTATTTCTTTTTCTTATTTCTGGGCTTAATTACATCAACAATACATGCTACACGACGACATGCAATTGAAATTCGAAACAATTTAAGATTTTTAAGATTAGCTTGTATCGAAATTGATAAACCCGTAAGTTATTATTGATTGAATTGTATTTTTATCGCAATTTCTTTCCAGTATAATCAGTTTTTTAACACATCTTGCTCCATAGAATGTACTGTGCTTTATTTTTTATTTTTTGTATTTTCTAGGAATTTCATCCTCATTTGAAACATTATTTAGAAAATATCCAAGCAAACAAACGATCTCCAATAAATGAAGATTATGTGTGTTACAGTCAGGTACCTCGCTACATGTGTCACACATATCACACATTATGTTTCGTTTTTCTTCTCTGTATTATCATCATCTCACTGCATGATTAGTAAATATCTATAATCGTTTTCTTTGTTCTTATTTTTCGTCGTCTGTCCAGTTCGTTTATTTAGTCGTTTTATATACATATAAGAATTCATTCTTTTTCTTTTCCTTTGTTCTTGTATCGTATATATACAGATCTGTTTCAATAAAAAAGAGAGTTGACACCAGTACATATTACAAGTGAAGAGGGTTGGGCTCTTACAATGTGGATGTTAAAACCGGGAAAAAAATTAATTTTATGATGCCGTTGCATGCGAAACGACGTTTAGCTGCGTCGTATGCCCGATGCAATGGCGGCAAAGACGAGGAAACTTTGTGTGACAATAACAATGATCAACAAAATCCAAATGTACAACTATATCAAGTATGCTATATTGGTACAACACGTTATACAACAACAACCTATTTAAATATTAGTGATGCATGTATAATTTACAAACGTGGAAATGATTTTTATGTTGGATTTATAAGAAAAATGATATACAACAAAAAAGAACATGTAAGTTATTTATTGCTTAGATAATTCTCTTTTATATTATTTTCTCTGTACTATTTTACGGCCAAGGACGATTTGCTCTTTTTGATGATATGTTTCTTGTATTTTTTAGAATGCCAGTTACTTTGAAGTTGAAGATATAAAAATTAAAGAAGAGCTTAACATATCAATTGGAGTTAAACATTATAGCTGTCCAAATATCATATACGGACACATTAACAATCAGAATAACAACATTCTTATAAAAGCCGATCAAAGCATCGAAAAAACAGCTTATGTTTATGACAAACATTACCGTTCTTTTGTTTTTTTTCGATTTCCAACGCTAGTAGAATCCTCATAGAATCCCAGTATGTGGTTTTCATTGTTCGCCTGTATGTCATATTTTGTTTGTGGAATTATTATTAATGCTACTTAAAGAGAACACACACATAGAATAAAAACAAATATCTACATCTTTAATGAAAGATCACCTTTTTATTTCTGGTTTTAGTCCTATGTGTAGAAGCGCATAGAATGCTAGTGCACAACAGGAAGATTATTGTTCACTTTCTGACTTACCCAAGCATAAAAAAAGAATCTAGTATCGCCCGATTCATCTAGATTACCAGATTTTTACTCGACTGCAACTACTGTGTAACGACAGTGGAAATCTAGTAATTGGGTGATTACTAGATTTTTTCTAGTTACACCTAGCGATTTATCGCCCGATAATCGATCGATTCAACTATTACTAGATGTGCCTGCAGACGCATCTAGTAAAAGTCCCTTTTCCAACTAGTGATCTAGATGACAACTACTCGTGTATCGCCCGATTACAGACGAAATGTATCTAGATTTTTCTCATAGGTGATATTTGCTTGGGTATATGCTGTTCATATCTTTAAATAACTTCACACTATTAAACATATGAAGCGGGTCAAGATGTTCAATAATATAAACAGTTTCAAACGATGTTGGAACCTTTTCAAAACTGCGTTCAGGCGTCTGTTCAAATTAGAACGCTTTCAAACGCGTTCGGAATATCAAATATCTGCAACTGATGCACAAAAAATAACTTCTTAGAAGTTAAGAAGAAGAAAGAACAGAAGTTATTTTTTGTGCATCAGTTGACTGATGATGTCTTTAGAATAAAGACGAAACGTCTCAATTTGAAATTGTCATTTCAACATGTAAAAAGCTGATTTTAATCTTGATTTTTGCCGTGAGAAAATTAAGATGAACACGAGTTTTCTCGTTGTACACACCATTTG